ACAATGAGCTTAACCAATCATGCACACACCACTGTGAACACACAAAAACATGCACCCAAGCAGCAGCAGCCCCAATCTCGTTATGCTGACTACACACAAGCACACACTTACAAACAGCCACACACACACACACACACACACACGCGCGCACACACACACACACACACACACTCATTTCATTTCCTTTTCTCAGCCAGTCTAATTTTGAGTTTTGTCAGAGCACATTATTACTTTTTCAATTCCCACAATAACCCCCTACTTCCTCTCGTTCTAGCTCTTCTCCATCTCTCTACCCCACACTTTTGTTCTCTCGTGTTGCCTCTTTTTCACCTCTCTCTCTTTCTCTCCTCCAAATGATCTTTAACTTGAAGATATTTTACCAAAATCAATTTGTGTTTATAATATGCTCAATCATTCACAGTGTATTAGTGCACCTGCACAGGTCCAATCACAGTCTCTCCTAAATTCCCGCATCTCTCTCTTCCTTGCAGATTATGCACACTACATTCACTGATGCTCTGTCTCAGTTTATCTCTGTCTTGCTCCGTTTCCCTCAGACCTCCCCGCCCCACATACTTTTGCACACTTCCACACATACACATTCACACATGAATATTCATAAGCATATTCTGTATCTGTGAGATCGTGATGAAATTTTCTCAGGGCTAACTATGCTCATACGTTTGTATTTGTGTGAATATGGATGCCTTGAAAGCTGAAGGGTGTTTCTGTCCTGTAAATAATTCTGCACCAACTTAGAAGAAGCACACACACTGACACTTACATAAACGCACCAACACACAGATGCCCTCAGAGGTCTACACGGAATCTCTCCAGAACACTATATTATATACCATATGTGCCTTTTCTAGTGCATTAATGTGGCACAGTATCTCTTCCAATTATATTTTACTCATACTACTATACAACACGGTTTGGGTACAATAATGTTGTGCTGAAATAGCACCCTTCCAATACCAGCCCAATTTCAAATTGTGTTTGTAAGACTGGTTTGATAGTTATATCAAGTGAAGAATTTGAATTTCAATCAGGTTTGCCATCACAGAAAAATACTTACATCTACTGAGAAAACATTCAGTGTACAATAATAAAGCAAGACAAACTGTTTAATACAAAGCACACTATATTACTTTGCAAATTCAAATGGTTCCACCCATACAAACTGCATCCCAAATTATTGTCTCTCTCTAAACCACTAGAATTGTTATCAGGGGACTTGCTTGGCATTATACGATCCTAGTGATCTTCATAGTGTCTTTTTTATGCCCGTTAGGAAACAATCTAATTTGCAATGTGATTGCTCAGTGGCGATAAAGATATTCCAACACAGAAAATAAAAACTCTAAATATATAAAGTGAACGGTAAAAGCAACACCTGTTCAACATAACGTGGTCCAGTAGCATTCAATAAATACTATGAAATATATGTTATGTTTTTAAACTGTATCAAAGGGGTGTTAACTTATCTCTATGGTATTATATCAAACTGTAGTTTTATTGTTATATTGGGTTGCCTTTTATTGTAAGTCCACCTGAAATGCAGGGAAATATAAAGCCATAATACTGATATTTACATCTAAGGGTAAGTTAAACGTTCCAGTCCCATTGAACCATCTGTGGGACAGAAACCAAATAAAGGCAACATTTAGTTTTTACAAAATTGAAGGGGAAGTGTATTGAACCATTATGTTTTTGGTGTGAAGCTCCACTAACTGCAGTGTGCACCTATATTCATTGCTCAATGTCCAAACAAAATGTGGTCTATAGATTTTACTTATAAAGGTGAGAGATGAATGTGAATATAGAGTTGAAAGTAGCAGCATTTCATTCATTTTTGAGTGAGTATATTCTATTCTTAGGTGCTTATGTAAACATTTAAATATTACACACACACACACACACACACACACATAAACACACAGATATAGAGAGAGAGAGGTAGAGGGAGAGGGAGAGAGACATTTCTGGTGATATTTCTAAAAGTACTGCATTTCAAGTCATTTGATTGCATTGCTGAATAATTGATAGAAAGCTATTACAGCTGGTATGAATGCCTCTAGGTGTCACCACACACACAACAAAGCAGAAACACTCAAGTATACTCCTATGTGTACGTACGTGACTGTTTTGTGCAGGTATATGTTTTTCGCATGATAGTGTGCATGGAGGAAAGTGTGAATTGTGTGTGTATGTGTGTGTTTCTGAGTTGGTGTGAACGCATTAGTAGCTCAGCTCCTCATAGCCTTACTGACAGAGTGACAGAGACATTGCTAATCCAGCACAGACAAGATGCCATTTTCCCCTCTTCCCTCACTCTTCCCCCTCCCCTTCTAAGTTCCCCAGACCCAAATTACAGTTCACTGCACAGAGAGATTTCTTGTGCAGCAATTCGACACATTGTTGCATTTGCAGAATGGTTTTGGTTGGCACTGTTGTGCACGAAAAGGCAGGGCTAATTGGGAAAAATGCCCAAGTATTATACACACTTCAAGGGTGAATTTCAAAATAAGTGCCCACAGATTCACAGTGGAGTGAATTTACATATCCATTTTGGATATATGTTATCTCTCTGTTGGAAATCCAAACTTTATTTATTTGGCAGTGTGTGTTGACAACAAAATGATGTTTCCTGTACACTGGAAAATCTATTAGACTTGTAAGTGAAGAAATTTCCGTAGTCACCAGAGATGCATTTAGTTCTTCTGAGTGGGGAAATCCTTTGCAATTAACAACAGAGGTGTGACTATGTGAAACCACAGAGGTTAAGATGATCAAACACCAGCCCTGTCCTTATGATAATAGCTCTTTTCCATGTTATGACAGTACTGCATATGGCAACGATGTGAATTAAGTTTATTGAGATTGCTCCTTATGTCATTGTGAATGGCTTTCTTAATAACGGACTTCCCCGATACAGGGGACGTAATCGATTTTTGCTGTTCTAGCTGTTTTCCATCCAAAAACAGCGGCCCTTTGTGTCAACAGAGACCGTCTGGCGGGCTGCCATCTTGGTGAGGTTGGCTTCATTGGTAAGTTTCGTTTCTGTCATCAGATTGAAGTAGAGAAGAAGAGTTTGCTTTGGCGGAGGCGGTCTTTATCGGCCTCTGCTGGCGATCTGTTTGAGCTACACAGACACGCAGGATATCAATTGATTCGTCTCTTCAATACGAAGAATACTTGCAGCCCTGTAGGATGTTCTGTTCTCAAGCTGTCGCCTGTAAAGCATGGGAGTGCTTTTGGTCATATATATAGACTGTTTTTATCAATATTTCAATGTTTTGGAAGCTTTATGTTATTTGGAACGTGGTTGTATGGAGAGAAATAATGTTTTGAAGATAACTCCCAATAAAAGTGAACATATAAACAGTAAATATGGCCAAAAACATGGACATTCGCCTGGTATATTTTTGAAAGATTGTATAATAACTGTTGTATATCAGTTTCTTTTCATCAAATTTACAGTTACAGTTGTATTCTAGGTGTACTATAAGATATTCAGGTGCATTATAATCTACCTTATGATGGGTTTTTTAAGCAGGTGAGGATGAAAATATAATTTTTTTCTGTATTTCATCTCCATGTAGTCTGTAATGATAAAATAAATATCTTAATGTACAATGGATTTATATTCCTTAGCTTCTGACCTTTCAAAGTAGACCAGAATTATGCATCTAGGCCTAATGGTTGAGGAAATATTACTGATTTATTTTGGGTTTGTTATTTTAGGCTTTTTTCCTGGAAATAGGTGCCAGGGTGTATCTTTATCCTCTATAAAAATAACAAGCAAATAATCATCCTTGGAGATGTTCTTTAACACAGATAGTGGTAGTATGATGAACCAGGTGTGCCAACAAATCTTGATTGTGACAGTTAGGATAACCACAGGTATCTGTTGCTCTGATTTTGTTCGGGACAAAGTATGACTGCAGTCTTTCAAAGTCCAGATTCCACATTTGGATTTGGATGGATGGTATAAATAAAAAGATAGAAGGCCTATGTGGGTAAGTTTTGATATTGGATATACCACTTGATATTGTACAAGAATGAGCTGAGCCCTGTCTATAGAAAACATCGATTACTATGTAATGTTCAACTAAGATCTAGTAAGGAGTAACTGGCCTTGCGTTTTGCTCTTCTGGATGACTGAATCAGTGTTGCTGATCAGGTCCAAAAAAATAAAAAATGGATAATGTAATCATTATCTATGTGTATAAGGTATTGGCTCAGATAATCAATTTAACAAGATGCTTTATATATATATATATATATATATTTAAAAGATGCTGTTCCTGCTGTAAAAACTTATTTTTAAAGAAAATGTGCTTGTGAACAGTACACGGACACATAGTCATAAGTCAGTTTGCCTCCACCTACACTATAATGGGGGATGTATATAGGCACAAACCCAAAAAAGTGAAACACAGATTATTCCTTAGCATACATACTGTAGTGTGGCATAGCATACAACCCTTTGTACACAGACCATCGACACCTACCCCAGAATCCGAAAATAGACAATAGCATACAGTACACTGCGCATATTTGCCTCTCTCCCACACACACCTTTGATTATAGAGTAAAGCATAAAAAGACATACGCACACACTCTTTAAGCACACATTATACACACAAGCATTCTTGGATTGCCTGCCTCTTGCGCTTTCACACACACACACACACACACACACACACACACACACACACACACAAATGCAAACCCAATCTGTCTGTCGTTCTGTCTCTCTCACGGACACACATAACATATAAATTATATGAAGAGTTTTTCTTCCAAAATTAAATTTTTGCATTATATAGAGGTCAATATTTCGATTATATAGAAGAGCCAAGTGTTAATGAACAGTACTGTAATTTCAGTTTTCATCATTTGTTTTAATTTTGAGACATAGGATGGATTTTCACTTTAGAATAAAACTCTTCATACAGTCGTGCACATTCACATACAGGCTTAGTTGTCCATACCTCGACAGATCGGAGCAGGGAAGTCCCAAACGGCTGTGTTTCCAGCATTGGTAATGCAGGTGAGTGTGGCATGGCCGTCTAAGACATAACCAGGAACACAGCTGTACCGCACACGGTCTCCCACAGCAAAACGGCCGCCACCACTTAGCACTGCTTTGGGTGGGATACCAGGGTTTCCACATGATGTACTATGAAGTTCTGCAGAGGAAGAGAAAGAAAAAGAGAAAGGGAGAAGGATTAAGGCTTTTTCAATTTCTTTTTCGAATTAATTGTACTAAAATGTTTAACTATGCATTTCTCCTAACTCAACTGCCACTCAACCAAATAATATACCCCTCTCTTGCTCAGTGATGTGTCCAATCCAGAGACTGCTCTGGAGCCCTTAACAGACCCAGTGCGCACACACTGAGTCTACCTTTAAAAACACAGTTTCATAAGAAAGACACTTGCATTGGGATGATGCAGTTTAAATACACCTTGGCAAGCATGATGGCTATAGTAAAAGGATATTCCACTGCACTCCTAGTCAAAGCAGACTAAACTCAGCTGGTGAGACAGGGAGGGAGACAATATCAAAGTGTTTTATAGTTACTCACATTATTCCCTCTAGATACATTTACACTTCTGTGCCTAAGATATATGCACAAGTGTGCATAGAAACATCTACACACACAAACACACACAGGAGAGAGTAGGAGAAAGACAGGGAGAGAAGGGGTATTACAAACCATAAACCAGGAAGTAGATGGGAGAACAGGGACCAACTCCAGTCTTATTGTTTGAACTTGATTGATACAACCATGAAACTGTTCAGACATATAGGGGTTTAGGGAGGGGGAGAGGTAGACAGACAGATTGGGTGAGGGGGAGGCAAGAGCAGAGACAGACAGAAAGAGGGGGAGGTGGGGAAAAAAAACGAGAGACAGAGGATGCCAAACGTGATAAACAGAGCTATGAAACTACTCAGACAGAGGAGGGAGAGGGGGAAGAATGGAGAATGTTAAAAGGGAAGGGGAAAGGAGGGAAAGGAAGAAATCAACGGCGCTAGTGTAAAAGATTATGCTCAGTATGCTCCCAAATGGGGGGCGGAGACAGAGCTGCACTTTTTCTTAAAATGTCACCAGTAACTCTGAAAACCTTACAGTGCTTCACTCCTCAAACTTCAGAAATATGTGCTATAATCTTTGAATGAAAAGCTAGAGTACAGCTGCAGGGGAATCATTTCCATACTAACGGCAGAAACATTGCCAGAGTAGAGAAGAGTTGATGTCATTAAATTAACCGACTGAGTAATTCCTATATTAGTTGGCTGATTGATTAATTTATACAATGCCTTTTTTGTCATACCTTTTCAATTACACCCTCCTCCCTCTCTGCATCCTCTGTGTCTATGTACATCCCTTGTAGCCACAATGCTGGTGACTACTCTCTAAGGATTATGTGGACATCTTGCATTGCTCACATTCTAACACAATCTTTCAGGTTCCTTTCAATGAAAATTGCCTCCTTTTTATTATTAGCATCCATCTTGAATGTGATGGGGTCTACGAGACCAAAGCTTGTGGATCATTTAAAAATAGATTTAACTAGAACAAAAATAACTTAATAACAGAAATATCTTTGTCTCTAAATGAGTTTCCATTTCAGAATTAGCAAAAACACCCAAGCATGCCCCCATGTTCTGTAATTAGTAGATATAAAGTTTCTGTTTAAGGTTTTCTTTAGAGGAAATATTTTATCCTGGTGGTCAGAGAGCATGGACATTATAGACAACCAACCGCCTTATCTTCACACAGACACAAAGTTACAGAGAAACACACACTCAGAAGACACACGTGCGCGCGCGCACACACACACACACACACACACACACACACACGCGCACACACACACACACTCTCAGGGTCATCCATCACTGTGGCGACCCCCTGTGCTGTATTGTGATTGGATGTCAGGTTGGCCTAGTGTTGCAACCTGTTGGCCTATCGATTTTGCCAGTCAGTGTGGCCCCACTCAGTGTCAGGATGTTTGTTGTTCAGTGTCCTATCAGACACACATTTACTCTCACCAAAACACACACACACACACACACACACACACACAGACAGGCATACACATACAGTACATTGCCGGTTTGTTGGTAGCTCAGGGTGCTATCGGAAACGCACACACTCAAGCTTTCTCTTCTTGGACACTTGGTTTTTAATCGGTGCCTGCATCAAATTTCCATTCTACCTATCTTTTTCATAAAGTGTTTCCTGTTTCCTCTCGTTTTCTAAATCTGTCTCATCTTCTTTTTATCTTTCACTCCTATGTCCCCTGTTTTTTAAAAAACTCTTCCTGTCACATTCCACCCATCCCCTCCTCTACTGTTCCCCTGCTCCCTCCTCCTCAACTAAAAACTTTGATGACATGCCAGCTCCTTGCCTCTGCCTCTCTCTCTCTCCTGTTCTAACCATACCATTATATCACCCCTTCTGTCCATCCCTTCATTCCTTCTTTCTTTCTCTCCCTGGTTTATTGTGAACATCACATAGTTTCATTACACTAGTTTATTCAGTAGCCAGCAGCTATACCACTCTCCTTTTCATGGTTTATTGCTGCCTGCCCTCTCTTATTTATTCTCTCTTACCCTCACTTCTTCCTCCTCTCTATTCTCTTTTTTTTTATCTATCTATCTCTGCCTCTCTTTCCCTATCTCTGTCTCTCCCCAGTTTACCATAACCATGATTTCAGTCTCAGCTGCTTCATTACAAGCTGCTGCTTTTATAGGCCATCTGTAGAACTATCTGCATTTGTCTCACACACACACACACACACACACACACACACACACATACAGGGACACACCAAGGCCTGCATGTAGAGCAGACACCAGCGTAAAGCTGCTCTTTCTACCACACATGCATGTAACCATTTACCCGTCTTTTATTTCTCTCTAGATAAGCAATTACAGCTGAGTCCAGGTACAGGGAGCACGAGATGGAAGGACTGAGTAGTGGGTAAAAAGCATGAGAAAAGTGCTAGGGGAAAAAAAACAGAGAATGCTGCCATGCTTTCATAGTTTTTAGTGAGACAGATGACACTGCAGACTAGGGAATTGGATAGGGGGAGTGAAGGACAGCAAAGACAGAGAGAGAGGCAGAGAGGGAGAGAAAAGGGAAAAGAGAGGAAGAGCTGGAGAGGGATGATTCAATGTGTTTGGAGGTTTTACACCTCTGTCAGCAGTAACTTCTATAAAAGATGAACAAAGTTTTACACCGGAACATAATAGATGCCGAAACGCTTGAAAATAAACCATAGAATCTGTTACAAGAAGCCATGTACATGGATTTCCATTAACTACATCTGAAAAATGAGTTTCAGAATTTTTTTTCATGACATTTCCCATAATAGACGTAAGGTTTATAAGGACTGTAACAGAACAGACGAATGAGTCCTGAGGTCTGTAACAAACAGATATGTGTTCTGGGGCACTCTATCTATAAAAGAAAAAATTCACTGGCTGTCAACTTCAAAGCCAGTTGCCTGTCAACTTGATTTATTCAACACTTTTTATGGACTTGTAAAGAACTTGTGTCATAAAACATTTTTGTCTGTTAATTAAATGTTAAAGCATATATAAAATAATTTTTGGTTTCAGGTGGCCTCTCCCCCTCTGATAATGCCTCAAGCAAAAACACAGCTTCAGTTTAGCTTTAGACATTAGTCTGTTTATAATACCATTAACAGATCCCATCATTACCATGTATCAACGTGTATACTTAACTGTGAGTTTACGGTTATTCAGCTTCGCAAAAATATATATATATATATATATACTCCACTGTTATTGGGAGGGCATTATAAAAACACAAGTGAAATGCTTTAAAGAACAGGTCCACTGCAGCTGTGGTATCTAAGATGCAGTAGATTGTTTATTCCTGCATACAGTTTTACTCAGTATAGCATTGCTTCAATCAATGTTAAATTAACTTTTTCAGCACAGCAAGCAGGAATATTTACATGTGACTAGAATCCTCACTACTTTTCAGCCTTTTTACATTTTACGCATTTTAGGAACTTTCAGCTTACTGTGAACAAGAAGTTCAGCTGAGGTTTAAGGGCATATAATGCAGTTTTGGGAACACCGGAGTGTTATGGTTGAAAAAAAAAAAAAAAGCTATAATACATCCATATATTTGTAATATTGACAGTGGAAATGTTTTTTTTCCTCAAACAATCCCTCCATTGTTCAAAAGTTGCTGCAGAGCTGTCAAGCAACTGTCATTCATACTAGGATTCAGGCAACATGCTCAAATTCGAACTATGACAGCTTAACAATCGCGAATAGGATAATATGGAATTATTCTACCTGGCTGTGTGCTTTTTATTATAAAAAGATTAATGATGAGATATCTGCCATTTGTATATTGTGACAATTTTCCCTCCCAAAGTTTTAACAGCATAAAATGTAAAAAGCCACCGAAAAGCCCATTATTAAGGATCATGCTGACAGGACGGAAGGAATGCAACGTTTCTGTTTTACAATCTATTTTAAACTGCAACATGCCTCTTTCTAATAATAGTTTCAAGAGATAGAAAGGGTCTAACCAAAGTGGTCACTGAGAGTAGTTTTGGGGAGAGCGCACATTCCCTCCATTGTTGATGAAAACACTGGCTCTTCATGGCTTTGAAACAGACCAATACACAGCAAAATTGCAGGCAGGATATGCAATAATGCAAGCGGTACAACAAGCACCCACAGTTCTGGCCTTCTTTAACCGTCACCACCCACAGTCCAACAAAAGGAACAGCAGGGAATAAGACTGCGGACTCAATTTTAGACATCAAATTCGATTTGAGTCTTAAGTTGAATCCCTGTGGCGAAGCGCAGCAGAAGCACCAGCAACATAACTACTCATTTAACACAATTTTTTTCATTCATGGCGTGGTCTAAAGAAGCAACTTTAAATTAATAATAACTAAAGCATTGCTTACACAGGCCCAAAAAGATCTAAACGTTGAGGGTCGATTCAGCTCAAGGAGAATGGTCCACATGACAGAAGCACAACATTATCTGATTCTTAAAAAGTAAAAAAGAGGTCTCTTACTTGATCTAAAGAACATACTTAATCATGAATGACTGGTTTGACCTTTGTTAGAGGAATGTGCCAGAGAACTGGTGTAAGTAAAAGTTCTTCTCAATAATGGAAATG